AAATTTTTTGACATTAACTATTCTGTGATTTCACTCCATATAAATGATTATGCTTTAAAAAAAAACAATCCTCAGTGAAAAGTCATATTGAATAATCTTTTCAGATAGGGTCCAACAATTAAAGCTGAATCATCAAAAGACATCCTGAAAAAGAGTCCTGGGTTAAAAAGTCATGTTACTACCCCGTTGTAATTAGGAAGAACATCAAGAGGAATCTTGGGACATTTCTTAGGAGAGTGGGTAGCAGAGGGCTGTGATCTCGGTGGATGTCTTCAGGGAATCTGTGACCCCCAATGAGCAACCTAAGGGCATCTAAAAGAGTTTGGAATATCTCTGGACCAGGAGATGATGATGACTTGGATGGGAGAAGGAGATTAATGAAGTATTATGTGATGCTATGAAATGAGTGCAGTTCATGACTTACAACTCCTCAGTATTTTCTACATACAGTACCATAGGTTGGGGCATACTGTGTGACCAGGGATTCCCATCTAGGAGTTCACGGTGCATTTGCCTCTGTGGGGCCTTGTGAGCAGCAGTTTGTCAGTTTGCTTTGCAGCTGCTTCTCCTGATTCTTCTCCATCCTGTTTATCAGGCAGGCTGCTTACTCTGCATTTGTGTGAGCTGATTCCAGAACCTTAGATCTCAGCAGGATGTTATTCTTCATGTTCAGGAACTCCGTTCTCATTTCTTAGGGATTTATGGTAAGCTGGGGCACCTTTTCTAGAATGAGAGGAAACTCGATATTTCAGTGGCTCCATGGGTTTGTGTGTTCTGAGTACTTGGAATGCCTCGGTTCCCTATGCTCCCTCCTGTTAAACTTACAGGATTTCTTTAAATGTCTGTGTCTTGATGATATCACCTGTGACCTGCATGACCATAGCCTTGTGGGTTCATGTAGCCTAATAACTCTAGTAATGTCATTTATGGCCTTTGAACTGCTCCTCTAACAAAGGGGTAATTATCTCCTGTGCTATTGCATGCTAGAACTCAGGATACCATCCTATATGTCTGTAAATAATGAAACACGCTCCAGACATTAGTAGCAGGCATATCAGCATCACTACATTCATTACTACATTTGGAATATTCATTATTTACCTAGAGATTGGAATCTGTAGAAATCCCTGCAATCCTTTTACCTCTAGTCCCAATGGAAAATATGAATGTTTTCCACTTGTTCACAGACTAAGGATTCTACGTTCTAACTCTTTCCTTTCCTTTTCTTTTCTCCAAGGGACTAGGGATTCTACTTTCTAACTCTCTTTTGTTTTTCTACAAACTTTAAAGCTCTGTGTCTTGTTTGAAGCCAGCTTCTGGGACATCTCAAAAGTGATTTATCTTTTCATATGAAGAATCACACGGAAATAGAGCCGGCTTATCTCTTAGATTATCTTGTGAAATGTTTTAGGAGACATGATTTCTATCTACAGAGACAAAGAATACCACATCCTGTATAACTCCAGAACCTTGAGGTTCATTGGTAATTTCTTCCATGCCAATAAATATAAGATTATTGCTTCTTTTCCTTAGCACTGGGATAAAATTACGATGAGCTGTTTCAGGATGTATCCTTCACAGCCTGGATCCTTTACGGCAGGGATTCTCAAGATGGTAACGGCAGCTGCTGCTCTAGTGGTTTATACTTCTCCCCATCTTCCAGCACACAATGATTAAAA